TCTGATTCCAAAGTAAATCACAATTTGTTTCACAGTTGTGCAGTGTGAGCATTATATTTACACTTGAAATCGTCTATGAGGCTCATGTATTGTTTCTGCCCGGTATAAGGGTCCATGAGTATACCTTCATTTTGTTCAAATATTTGTCACGCAAACACACGTTTCCCTTTCTAGTTGATAATAAATCATTTCGAGGGACACATATATTATAATTTTCTTCAGAACTGACATAAACTGAATGAGAGAGCTAACAAATTATTGTTCACCTTTACAAAAACTCAACTCTTTAAACTCATATCTTTACAGATGGGTTGCTAATGGCAACGAAGCTCCTTCGACTTCGAGGCACTGGTCACGTGATAGACAACTACGTCATGGTAACAGAACAGTTTTTTTGTAGTGTTTTCATATTAAAATTATTTAGCAAGAGATGCAGTTCCATCCGGTAAAACCCAAGCTTCGCGCGATATCGACATATTCTACAAATTAAAGACCGAGAAAGAAATTACCTTTGTGGTGGGTGGGGTTGGGGTACTCTATTCTTAAAAGGCTTACTTGGTAATGCGGAGTGATGCCTTACCAAAGGAAGCAAGCGAATTGACTTGGTTTCGAGCCTAGGACCTCCCGGTTACGAGACCACTGTTCTACCACTGAGCCATCATGACTCTATACGATTATACACGGAACTTTGATAAAAGGAGACAACTAAAAGCTATACCTAGAGTATGGCAAAGGTTAGGAAACTAATGAGAAACTCATAAAATCAAAGGTGCGGAATTTATGGTCGATTCATTATGATAGTAATGATCGCCTTTAAGTAACGTGGGGATCACAATACATGTACGTGTAGACTTCGTTCAGAAAAGTATGATTTATGTTTTCAAAAATGTAGGAACACTGTCGAAAACCCGTTCTGATCATTTGATTGAGGAGTAAAGAATATTTTTCTCAATTTAACAATGTGTCAACGATATAACAGAAACTTGCTGAAAGGCGAAACACACGCTGAGAACTACGAACACAAATGAATAGACTACTGCAATTCCATTCAAACTCAATGTGACCTCGTATATTCATTTGCTTATTGTTCACCTATTCATACAAATATTTCAAAGTAATTTGGAAAATATATCATTCAGCACTTGAGTGACTCTGTAGGAGTATCTGTTATGCAGGTCTGTCGATTTTTTCATCAGACCAGAACGTGCCCAATAGTATTTCAGGCACTAATTACAACCTTTTCGAAGAAATTCATCACTTCATCGTACCCAAATAAGGAATCCGTACATGATTGTAAAATATCGATAAAAAACAACTTCACCAAACAAGGAAGGAAGTGGATTCTTAGAATAATTGCCTGAACCTTTCCGTTAAATCTGTGTTTCCCATATAAGTTGTTGTAAATGAGATTACAGTAGGTCCATGGTCCTATACTAGTAACATATTATTGCCTTAGGGATGGGGAAACTATACTCGTAATATATCATAGTAATAATAATAATGATAATAGTGGGTTCTTGTATAGCGCTCATGTCTGTCAGACTTAACACACCTGGCGCTTTACAACTATTACCCCGGCTTTAGCATGGCTGCCAGTTTGGCGCTCTAGCATTTCAAGGAATTACCTGCCAGGTATACTATGATAACTATACACAAACACTTCTGTTCTCAAAATACATGACTTTTTATGTTTCACGAAACTGTCTCAATTACAAGGGCAAGGTGAGCGACAGACATCACACATCCCACGGATACTCGTGTTAAATTGAATACATATTCTTATGACGGTTTCATGAAACGCTGTCTTGTTGGTAACTTATATTCAACTCACCGTGGCAGTAAAAAGATATTCCCTATTCGATTTCCTGGTCAGAATATAACTATGGAAAGTGAATGTTAAGATCAGAATAATCCTTGTGTTTCTACTTTCTAACTAAGCAATGAACACCATTGCCAAGATAGTTTTTTTTATTTATTTTTATAGTTCGTACCTTTCCTCTCTGGAGTAAAGCCAATCATTTTAATTCGTTATGGAATCTTCAAATTAATAACACACGTTTACGGTACTAGATGCACAAATGCATATAATTATCATGAGTTAAATCTAATTTGTATGGTGCAATTATGTTCCGGTTTATAGGTGAAATGGCGTATAAAGAAGAGGCAGGTGGATTGGAGGGGGGGGGGGGGGTGGGGAGGGGTCAGTTACTTCCTCAAATTGGTTGCTCGAACGATTGATTGTGCTGGCCTAGCCTCTGTAGCTAATGTGTGCTTTTAATAAAGACCCTTTCCTCCCCCACTCCGTTGAGCGTCCATTTATGGCCATAAAGACAAGTCATCATTTGTATCTCTTTCGGTCACATATGTCCGCCAGGCTTATTCAATTGGCATTGATTACATAATCATCTTAGTTGCTACCATGACAACGACACGAGCACCGCTAATGTGAGCGTAAAAAAGGTCACAAGAATCGAATCACTTATGTAGCTGATATAATCATGATCTGTTGTTAGCCTCATATATTACGATGTGGGGAGAAACTCGAATAGTAAATTAATAATAATGAAATAAAAAACGTCGAATTCAAGCGAAAATGTTCCCTCTTGAATCAACATAGCTAAAGGGCATTAGGGTCTATGCCTCCCCATAATATAAAAACCTCTGGTGCTTCCAGGGAACGATTTTAGACATATAAAACGTGTAATAATGTCATGCTTAGTGAACTCTATAATGTAAGTTGTCACCTTTCAAAATATCAAACAGCGATCCCCTCGAACAGAATAACTACGACATTTATCCCCCATCCACCGTATGAGCAGATCCAATGTACATGTATTCGCTAACATAAGTATAAGTATAGTCGAATACTGCTATCTCTTTCTCTCTCTCTCTCTCTCTCTCTCTCTCTCACTCTATTCTAACGTTACTCTATTCACTTATATATCTACTTATCTCTCTTTCTCTCCCTCCCTCTCTCTTGACTTATATATCTACTTATCTCTCTTTCTCCCTCTCCCTCTATCTTGACTTATATATCTACTTATCTCTCTCTCTCTCTCTCTCACTCTTTCTTGACATATATCTCTACTTATATCTCTCTTTCTTGACTTATATATCTACTTATATAATATATATATCTCCATCTAGATGTCTATCTCTCTATCTCTATATCTATTTACCATGTATATCTATGTAACTGTCTATCTCTAGGGGTATCTTTCTTCCCATATCAATCTGACTAAAAAAAAAGTTATTTAATTATTTTTCAACGCAATCATTAATGCGATATATTTATATCTATCTATCTATCTATCTATCTCATTATATATCTATCCGTTCATAATCTCTTCTCTCTCTCTCTCTCTCTCTCTCTCTCTCTCTCTCTCTCTCTCCACTTATTCTGCTTTTAATACGATGTCACCCCAAGTTGAATATATCCGAGGGAATTCGACAAAAACAAAATAACACGGAAACGTGTGGGTGGGTGCAGGTCTGAAGCGGATATAGTGGCAAGACAAACACAAAATGGCAAGACAACCAAAACAAAAGGAGAAAAGGGGGAGTAAAAAACCACAATGATCTTTTACGTAAAGGCCTTAAAACGCTTACCAAATAAGGTATTAAGTACACCCTTCCACCTAAACCGATCATTAACAGACATTATCATAATGTCGGTGAAATTATGCGGTTTCATGCTTTTTAAGATTGAAGGTATAGACCAGTTTTGGAAACGCCCCCCTCTCAAAAAATGAAATGGAAGCTCTTATTACCAATCATGTGAAAGAATATGTTTTAACTGATATGTGATGATAACAAAATTTGCCGGGAAACCACCTACTAATTGATATATTTGGTAAATTATCATATCGATCCGGCCTGGGTACATATTGCGAATGCACTTCAACATTGAACATTTGAGCATATATTTCTGCTTGTTTGCGAATTTAGGTTGAAGTATTGCCATCTAAACCTCTGAAGGCTATATCTAAACAATATTGAAAGGACATTTTGCACCCAAAACCCTTTTTACCACTACCGGTCTATATCTTTAAGAGGAAAGAGCGTCCTATTTTGTACGTGATAATTCACTGCTTCATAGCATTTTGACCCCTTTAACGGCAACGCCCCCGCCCCAACCCCAACACAAATTTATTAAAATTGTCTGGATTAAGGTCAAGGAAAAGAAAAGCATTTTTCGTCCTATCGTGTTAACTTCACAGGCACATAAGAAAGACTCTATTTTGATGACTCGAATAACAATCACATTTTGGAGATCTTTAAGAATCGTACAAATGGCAACTTTCGAACCACATTCGGCCGGATCGTTTTTGCGAGCCCTCTTTATCGCTTACAATGAAAAAATATATCTAATCTACGTTTAATTCCGCCTGATTTCCTCATTTCGACGATTTCTAAAACAAGAGCATCATTATAGAACGTACACATAAAGCTGATCATAATTAAATACAATAAGCTGTCCCTATCGCCCTTTTTTGTGAAACTTGAAGCCAACCTGCATACCTTAAACACACACACTAAAATCCACTTCCCACCTCCCACGCACTCACGGATCCCGACCAGTTAAGGAAGCCATAATAAAATTGCCACAAACAAAATATGCTAATCACGAATATCCTTATTATTCAATGAGGAGCTCTTTTTGAATATGAAAGATCTTACTTGCATGATTTTCAAGAAACTACATTAATATTTCTGGAAAAGAAAAAAAAGTTCCCTTTTTCCCTACTTCCCTTTTCCCTTTAATTGTCAGACAATACAATTTGACTACTGTTAAAAGCCATGCAACATCCAAAATGGGCGTTGGCCACAGAACAAAAGTAATCGCACTCACAATATAGCAACAAAACTGTTCCGACGTTCAAAACCACAAACAAAATCACCACACACACTCATAAAATATCATTCCTCACATGATATCGACCAGACACATGATAATACCATCATATTATAAGATTTTGAAAAAATGGTTGTCTACTTACGTGAATTAGACCCCGGGAACAGTAGTACAATAGAGGCAGAGGAAGGAGAAGGAGAGCGTGCGTTATGTTAGGGTTAGTTAGGGTTAGCACTGGCGAACGTGCGAACAGGTAGTTGTGGCATGTATTAGAGGTTCGCAGAGTCGGAACTGCGCTGAGGCTCTCTCGCGTGCGTTGTGGGGTGAACATTAGCTAATCTGATCTCCTAGTCTCGAATGTAGAAGTTTTTTGTTCATCGAATAACAAAGTAGGCGTACACGTACTTAGTGTTACAATTTTCGATAAAACTGATCAATTTCAATTCAGAAGAGACACGTAAGGAATTGAAAGTCGTATATCGTAACGTTGAGTTAGAGCATAATAATTATTAAATATTAATTTTCATGGCATTTCTTTTATCATGTTTTTGAATAAATTTGGGATTTGAATAGTAATATATATTTGTTTAGCAATCGATACCTTTACAATATTTATTGAGTGTCAGAGTAGTTTACTTCTAATATACCAATATTTTGCCCAAATAGAAGAAAACATCTTCCAATACTAACAAGATTATTTTAAGGGGGGGGGGGTATATATAGGAATTGGGAGGGGGGCTGTTTCCATTATATATGATATAAAACCATCTTTAACTTGTGATCTTCTAAGTAAGTTCTATTTAAAAAGCATGGGAGTATCCACAACGGTTACCCCCTGATCATACACTTAAACGTGTACACGCTGTAAAGTTGAAGGATGTACATAAGTTGGATTAAAATCTATGATACGTTAATCCCTGTAGCACACAATGCGTCAATCGCCTGACGTAATATTCCGTCAGCAACCTGTGCATCAACGCTGCGTCACCGTGAGAGCGATGTCGTATCGTGTTTGTAAAATGTCATTGCGTTGAATGACTGGTGTATGAGCTAACTGCGAGACTTGATTAGTGAAAGTAATAACGCAGTCGAAATGACGCTTCAAGGGTAATATAATAGTCTTAAAATGGATAATTTGAAATAACAAGTTTTAAATGTTCAGGGATTGACTCAAGATTGCGTATAGGCCTATTACATATGTATTTTTAAAATTTATTTTAAGGGGGGTGGCAATGTTGAAGGGCAATCCCAAGATATAATTAAGACAGCTAGGTCTTCTTAAGCACCTATTTCGTTTTCATTATGAAGAGGTGGGGCTAGGTAGGAAATTAGAGAGCAGGAAGAGGGCCATCATAATCAATCAAATTATATTTCTAAATCAATTTGGACTGGATGTGTGGCATGTGGCCTGTGGGGCACAGTTGTACTATTGAACTCACAATCGACCGGTGTACTACTAATGTAAGCTCAAATATATGGATGTTCATTTCCTGGGAATCTAGTGACGAGGTCCATTAACATTTTATCAGTGAATTAACTTACAATACTTCAGAATCCAGTCTGCATATATTATTTCTTGCTACGTCGGGCGAGGCTCAGGCAAGCCAAAAGTACGCATTTAATTTGAATATGTTATAGCGAACCGGTCTATGGTGAATGAATTACACTTCGAGTCTGAACATTGAGACTAAAATCTCAGTTAAAGGGTTTGCACCGTACTTACAACTTGACTTCGCACACCCCCGATCTGGCTTTTATTCTTGCTCACGCGTGCATGTGAAACGGTTGTCAGACTGAAAGGAATAAACTTCAGTGCAAAGCAGTCTCATTCACATTATGTTTTTGCAGTGATTTTTTTTACCCACTGACTCTGTTTAAGGTCAATCGTGTGGAAATATTGGTGTCAGGGTCAGGGTGTTTTGCTCTACGCAGAAATTTCTGTATGCGTTTCGTTTTTGCTGTATACATGGGTGTCGATCCTTACGTAATACCTATTCATCAGGGGGGATGAATGAATAGATCATCCCCCCCTGATGAATAGGTATCAGTTACAGATCGGCACCCATGGCTGTATACAAGATTTATCTGTACAAATTACGTTTTGCCTTTTTGTGCAATAAATGCCTATTCTTTATTAAAGTTGGATTGAAATAATAATGATAATAATAACGGTGGCTTCTTATATATAGCGCACATGTCCGTCACGTAGAGACGCTCCTGGCGCTGCCCCGATTATAACTCTGTCTTTAGCAAGACGGCCATCACTCTAGCATTTTCAAGGAATTAATTCCTGTCAGGTATCCATTTACATCACCTGGGTTGAGTGTGGCAAATGTAGATCAATGTCTTAATTGCCAAAGGACATTAGTGCCGCGGCGGGACTCGAACCGCGGACCTTGTGATCGACAGTCCGGTGACTACCATACATGATATCAATCTAGAAAGTGTTGCATCTGCTTTCATTTTAATGGTCTTCATGAACTTAATGAGATAATCAGGCGTAGGAAGTGGGACATGCATGTACGGAGCAGGGGTTGGACGGGGGCGTTGACTTTAAAAGGGGTCAAACAGGTGGAGGCAAAGATCGTACAAATCTCAGGGGGAAGGTCCCCCAACGGCCCAGCTCTCAGCCCTCATCCTCCTCATCCCTCTCTTTATGAAAGATTTTTTTTTTTTGGGGGGGGGGGGATTACAAGTTTATGTCAGGCGCTTTGCAAATGTGCGTCACAATAATGCATTTGAAAATACATGTATATTCTTTCTATATGATCACTTTTATTTCTCAAAATATTACACTTATTATGAATGATATCAATATGACACGGGGTGATGAACTCTTCATCCATGTATCCATGGAGATATAAGAAGAGATCTCCATGATGTATCCTACTATAGGCCTTCTGTTATCAATTTTACAAATACAGGTTACATGTTACAGTTACATTGTATATACGTAGTATAGTTTTAGTTTGTTATATTCTTTAGTATTTGTACGATTTGTTGTTATTATACTCATCATGTTCATACTCCTCTATTTTCCCTATCTATTATATGTAACATATGTTTTATGGACCACTGCCTTGTGCAGCTGAGTCTGAAATAAAGTTCTGAATTGAATTGAATTGAAATTGAATATCCATACAGACATACAGAGAAGCAAAATCAAAGCTCACGAATTATTTGTCATCTCTATCAGAACTTTGTATCCAAGTATATTATTATTCCCCGATTAGTTTAGATGCATGACACGTCTATGCTTGAGCGCTAGTTACTTTGGCAGCTCGGCTATAACCAGGGTATATGTGTAAAGCGCCATGAGCGTCAGAGCCTGGAGGATACCGGCGCTATATAAATATCCATATTATTATTATACAGTCGTAGTCGTGTGGTCCGAACAGACTGGGATACTGAGGATGTTTGATCGAGCCCCGGCACAGCAAAATTTGCCGGAATTTATCAAGGCAAGCCTCTTGATTGATTATGACGTAGGCCCACATTATGATTTGTATATACTGTGATGTTTTTGTAGTGATCAAAATGAGATACTACTGAATTAAGATACTTCTTAAAATTACATGCGCTGCACTCGTAAAAGGAACCACACACATTTGGCATTCAACTTGTCAGCTATTTCTCTTCATAATTCTAGTAACTATACTGTATGTGAAGACTAATTTCAGGGGACATTTCGCCTCTGATATTCTTCAAAACAGATATAGACGGAATTCGACACTTCGAGGTATTTTTGAATCTTTGCTAACCTCCTTATTAGAACGGACCTAGCTGTAAGGACTACTTCCTCTCATGCTCTCACAATGAGAATTCAGTTCCTGTAAAACGAATTACTCCCGGGTAACAAGGATAGCTTCCTGCTTCTGATCTAGATTATTATACAAAGGCAGATCCAGGGTTCTTCGAGAGAAGAATTGGGGGGGGGGGGGGTGTAAACAAAAAAAAACACTTAAGTTCCCATTCATTTGGAATAGCGTAACATAGATAGAAAAAAAGTCTTGTAAGAAAGGGGGTTGTTTAATCAACTAAAAATACAACTCCGAATCCGGTATAGGCGATTTTATTTTTTTATGGATTTTTTTTATGGAATTATAGTTGTCACCTCCTCGCCAAGATTCAGAGCAAATTATCTTCAACGTAATCGGATCATTTCAACAAAACAGTTTTACCCAGAGACTCTTCACCAGGAAGGATATTTGTCTTCATTCAGAAACTTGCCCGAACTGTTGCATCCGCTTGTGGATATCTTGTTTACCAGAGGACCGATCCGCATCAAATCCAATTTAGTCCTTAAAACAACTATACAGATTAATATGGGAATTAGCACAACTTTTTATTTGTAAAAATGTCAGTTTATTCATAAACATAATATCAGTGACTACCGTGTTGGATGAAACATTAAAAATAAAAAGCAGCACATATTATATTACCGTATCTCATACATCATCACATCCCCCTAAAATTATCTTTTTTCCCAAACATATACCAAAATTGTTGTTTACAAATCAAAGAGGAATTCAAAGAATATTTACAAACTTATCCCCGAAGTAAAAGCACGCGAGATCACATACTTTAAGACTTATATACAGACAGTAATTATGGTTAATTATAAGTGTACATATCAACGAGAGACTTATCTAGCGAAACTTTGCAAGAAAAAGAGAAAGAAACAGACAAACACAATTATGTACACCCACGAACGAACGAACGAAAGTCGTAAATGATGATGCTGCCAATATGACCCAAAGTAAACAGAACTGTACTAGGTATACATGTATAACTGTACATGCGCATACAATCACCTGTTTGATTTAACATTTATCATTGGCATTAACTTTTCATTTAAACAAATTATATGGTATTGCTAAAATATTATACATGAATTTGAAATTGAAATTAATTAGTAAGCTGTCTTTTATACTTCTTAACTTAAATAACCAAACATCTTACCATACAGGTATATATTCAATTTCCAAAGTATTACTCCAAAATTTTTCCGCTCTAGATTTTTGATTTTTGTTTTAATTAACTCATGATATATTCTCTTAACTGTCAACTGTCTAACTGAAATCATATCCTCAATCAATTTTATATCATTATATACAAACGCTGTGGATCTAAATTTCATATACTCTCTATGTTCTACATTCATATCTGCAAGTACTAACATATTCCCGAGTGATTGAATCGCTCTTCTAATACGTGCATATTGACTATACCATCTTCCATCCTTAAATAATATTTTCGCACTTAACTCATTAACTGGTAGAAAACCTTTACCATCCATTAAATCCCCAACAAACAAAATGTCAGAATTTATCCAATTCCTATAAAAAAGCATTTTCCTGTTATACGTTACATTTGTATTCAGCCAAATTATTTATCTACGATAGCTGCCAAAAGTACAAGATCGATGCAAGAAAAAGGTCATAATTAAATTATAGTAGAAGTGAGGAATCTTGTTCTCCAGAAAACTTGCGTTTTTTGTACTATATTTACAATTCATTATAACCTTTATACCACCAATTTGCTCAAACCAATAGTCAAACATACATTTGCAACCTGCATTTAATTCATCGCCTAGATATTTACAAAACCAATTTATATTAAACGATGCAACCTTTGTTTCAACATCTAACATATCTAAACCACCTTCTTGAATACTATTCAATGCATTTGACCTTTTAACCTCTGCAGGTCTACTTTTCCATAGGAAATCAAAACAAACTTATCGAGCTCCTATCTCTTTAGGACAAGACAAAACGTGTGATGTATAAATTAAAACAAGATAAATTGTATTAGACAAAAGTGAAAAACAAATATTGCTTGTAGCAATTATATACCCCTTTCCTCTGCTACTTCATTCCATAAGGTAAACTTACTTCACATATTACGTCTGAAGTACATGTATTGTATTGGCGTTTTTTTCTATTTCCACCCAGGTGAAGTAAATGGGGACCTGGTATATGTAGGAATTTATTCCTTAAAACGCAGCTCGCGTGACAGCTGCACTGCTAAAGCCAGGGTAATTATGATGCCTTATTGTAGAGCGCTTAGAGACTTCTGATAAAATAAGTGTTAGGCGCTATATAAGCAAATATAATAATAATTATTATTATATGGTTATTAAAGTGGATAAGTCGTCGGACTGTGAACCACAGGGTACAAGGTTCGAATCCCTGCCACAGCACTAAGGTCCTTTGACAAGACATTAATCTACGTTAAAAACCCACACGCGACCAGGTGAGGTAAATGAAGGCGCGTACGCAGGATTTTTTCAAGGGGGGGGGGGGGGGGGGGGGGGCGGGGGGTTTAACATTTATAAATCGGTCCGAAAATTTCGCAACGACTCAGCCAGCCGCTGAATAAGCGGGGGGGGGGGGGAGGGGGGAGGGGGAGGGGGGGGGGGGTAAGAGGTCAATTTTTTTTTTTTTGGGGGGGGTCCCAAAAAAATCGCAACGACTCAGCCGACCGCTGAATAAGCGGGGGGGGGGGGGGGTTTGGTTTTTTAGGGGGGTTTACATACATAAAATTACCAAAGGGGGGGGGGTTAACCCCCCAACCCCCCCCCCCCCCCTGCGTACGCGCCTGGGTAAATGGGTACATGACAGGAATGAATTCTTTTAAATGCAGGGCGCCATCATGGCAGCTATAGTAAAGCCGAGGTAATAATTACGGAGTGTCAGGTGTCTCAGACATGAGCGCTAAATACAAGAACGAGCTCTTTTAAAATTTAGATTTAAAGCATGATATTGGAAAGGCAAATGTCTGGGGAAGGATAGAGGTTGGTATCGAAAGACAAATGAGGAAGCCTTCACAGAATAATTTACAAATCACATTCACACTTTTTACTTATTACTATAGGGACGACGATAACCCCCTAGGACATCTAATTTCCGATTAAAACTACCCCAGTAAAAGTAATATCAGTTCATTTAATTAGCCTTACCCCAAGAACAATTATCCACGACATCAAGACCCCCAAAACCCCAACTACCCTACGACAACTACCATTGGACAAAATTAATATCTCCGGATAACTATCTCAGATATCCGCAGATAATTTGGGTTATGTTTAGAGGAGGTATTTTTCTGGGTGAAAGTGTGTGAGAGGTATTTGAGACTAAGACCCCATCAATGATGGTCAATCGGCAGATGTTGATTTTAAAAAGACCTAAAATCCTGTTATATGCAGATCCCAAACATATTATCTTCTTATTTCTTGTTCATTTCTTTGTTTATATTTTGAAACAGTTACAAACCTAAGGACCTTTGTTTAGCTTGCTTCTGAAAGAAGAAAAAACACTTTCAGCTTAGTCATTGGTAAAATAACCATGGTAACGACACCACCCCATTACAAGTGACACCCCTGCGTAAAATGATTCTAATCTTGTTTATTATCATCGGTTTGTGTGCGGCGCTGTGTTAGAACAGACTGCTGGTTGACTGGTTGAACTTTAGCTACGTTTTCAGGGGGCGGGGCGTCATCTCTTACATGTACTTCCACCGCTGGCACCCGCCTAGAAGAGGTATAGAGATGTTATTGTGTCAACCTTTACAATGCACACAAATGTTTACACAAATCTTATAAATCGGGTGTAGAAATGGAATGAAGTGTACTTTAATGATGTAGAATAAAGTGTACATCAATGACGTGAAATATAAAGAATAAAGATATCCTTTCATGCATTTTGAGAGTGTTTTTGTGCCAGATGTATTTGATTAACCGTAGGCCCATGAATTATAAGTCCCAAATGAAAAATCCTTTTCCACTTTCAATCCTTATGTCTGTCATAATTTTATGGATTTTTTCTGTTTTCTTCATTCCTATTTGTTTTTTGTTTTACTGTATATTAGTAGCTGATGCTTTCATCTAAATGAATATTCAGATAAAAAAGAAGAACATCACCATGGATTAGGATAATACTTATCGACATTGTTCAGCGCAAAAAACAGTCCATCAATCTTCAACTTTGGGTTGACTTAACTATTGAAAGCTTCACCCCGATTGGAATACCAAATGCTGAAGAAGTGTGTATATAATTTTAACATATTCAGAAGTGATTGAGAGTTAGCTGAAGGCATATCATTCAGACGAATGCTGAATTGCACATCTTGCTAAAACAGCAGCTAAATTTACCTGCGTGTACAGCAGCACCATATTATCCATATAATGTACATGAAGACTTGCAAAGAAACTATTCCAATCCCGATTCCAATCAGCCATTCCGGTTCTATATGAAAAGAGAAACAGAGGTAGAGGGAGAGAGGGAGAGAAAGAGAGAAAGAGAGAAAGAAAAGAACATGGGGAGGGATGAGGTAGGGTAGAGAAGAGTGGATGAAAATGAACTTTTAAAAATGATGTAAAAGGCAATATAAAACCTTTTTATAGCTTCAATTGTGTTTGAATATTAACCCCAAAATATTATTTCTCTCTTATAGTTTGTTCACATTTTGTTTCTTACTTTTAATGTTTTGATATTATTTCTGGCTTATTATACTATTTTACTCTTCTAATTCCTGTTTTTCTTCAAGACTACAGTGTAATAATATGTTTTCCCTATATGACATGTGCTTTCGAGGTCGATATTTTCTCTCTTGCTCTCATTTTTGCATACGATTTGATAAAATATTAACAAATATACATTTATCATACAGAGAGAGTGAAATAAAAAGCAAATAATACACTGCATGCCAAGACTTAACGCCTCTAAGTGGTCAATAGAACGGGCGTGAAACATAGGTTATAGTATTGAGATATCGACTGCTTCGAGAGGACTGCCTGTTTTTATACGCTCAAGGGAAATTTGCCTCCGCGCTGCTATCACATCCGAAAGACGTGACTCAGTTTCGAACCGGGGTCGCCTGAGCCAGTTTGTAGGCGAGGACAGAGAGCTGACCAAGTGAACGTGCCGCTAGACCAACTCACATCCCCGAAAGACGGCTCAAAACTGTGTTATTATGCCCTCGATCGAAAGAAACATGTTTCTCTTCAAAGCATTGTCATTTGTAATACTCATATCTAAATCTCATTTATATGTTTACTCATTCGATACGCATGTAGTATCCTGTCTATGTATACACTCATAATTACGTAATGGTTTAAGTTATATTGCTGCATCACAATTCGTAACGTAGTGTTAGAAACTTATTATACAGCACGTACGTGGATCATTGTCATTTGATTGGAGGATTGTTGGTCACATGATATTCAATAGATGTTATATTGCACGGTCGTGCATTTTTGGTTATATGCAGATTGCGTATACCTCTCTGTCGAGCGCGTATCCCTTTGTTACTGACGCGAAGGCAATCTGAATGTAATCGAGAAGGCTTGACTCCACTGACTTTAATTTATCTTTAATATAAGGAGTAAAGCATAATGTTGATTAACGTTCTATTAGATCTTTTTCGATGTTGTATAAAACAAATAATGAATGTTTTCATTCGTTTAATAGTACGAATATTTTCATTCGTTGAAAGATTAACGATAATTCTAGAATGTTAATCTTTCAACTCATGAAAATATTCGCACTATTGAACTCATAACCATTCATACTATTGAAATATCAGCTGTAGATCCCTACGACTATTTTGTCCCTTCTTTCCTGTATTGCCTAGTATCCGTGTGCTCAAGTTCTAGGTTTTGTCTTGTTATATACCATGAATGAGGAAACGTTTAAACTCATTCATTATGTTGTAATTGACTTGTACTTTACTATCATCATAGTTAGACAAAATAATTTGTATATTATTTCAGTTTGTTAGTAATAGAATGTACAAGAAGTAAATAATGTTGTGTGAATGAAAACAACAAGATTTATGTGGAAAATAAATGAACTTGAACTTGAACTTCGTCTCAGAACACAGCTCAGTTTTAAGATTACCTCGGGAAAGTAACATGCCTCTCAAAGCAGTCGATATTTGTTTAATCATATATCTTGCCCTTGAATTCGTCAACTCATTTCAATTATTTCAGCAATGCCTCCCAAAGCAGTCGGTATTTGTATACTATATTTTCATATTTCTATAATCAGGTTAATATACCATCTTGAAAAAGCGTAGGCTTACCCCGGAAAACAATCCGGCCACAGTCGATTACACTACCACTCCACAGTCCATTTGCAGAGCATTTGATTTCCACTTTCTTGGTACTGTTTCCTTCGCAAGATAGCGTCACTATCTCGTCAGCCTGGTAGACAAATTTGAAGGGCTTGGCTAGTATATTTGGTGGGAGACCCGGCGGTCCGCAGTTGGTGCGACACGAATTTGACTGCGGCTCTGTGTTTGGAAACAGAATGAAAATTGAAAAGAGTTCCGATACTGAGAGAGAGAGAATACGAAAAAAAAAAAAAGACCAATGGCGCTCACACTTCGACCCAGAATCTATTCGTTTTATTTTCTGTGGTCATGCATAAAGGAATGATTCTTGAGGATCATAATCGAGATCATCATACATCAAGTATATCGGAATAGACACAAGGATAAATTGGTGGATGTTCAATGAGTGATGGATTAAATGTATCTGGCACTCGGAGGCATAATAAAGATAATAATAATAATAATAAATTACATTTATATAGCGCTTAATACAAAGTTTCTAAGCGCTTAACAAAAATAAAATTAAAGTAATGTTAACCTACAAATTACAACAATATTATACATGATACAATAATTATAATAACAAATTCCTAATAACAATCATAAAATAATAATAGTTAATATTTACATAACGCTTTATAGTTTAACAAACAAAATATGATTACATTACATTACATATTGAACAGATAAGTCTTAAGTTTACTCTTAAATGTTTCTAACGTTGGGGACTCGCGTATTTCATGGGGAAGATTGTTCCAAAGTTGGGGGGCACAGACAGAAAAGGCACGATTTCCATAGCGGGTGTGGGTGCGAGGGCCTGGGGCCAGATGAAGATGTGCTGTGTATGATGATCGGAGACCTATAGATGAAGTACGGGTTTTAGGAGTGGTGAGTGCCGAGAGATATGAGGGAGCAAGTTTGTGAAAGGCCTTGTATGTCAGCATGAGAATCTTGAATTTGATACGTTGTTGGAGGGTGAGCCAGTGTAGAAAACGAATGATCGGTGTGATGTGTTCATGTTTTCTTGTACGTGTGATGAGGCGTGCTGCTGTGTTCTAAATATGTTGAAGAGGGGCTAAATGAGAGCTAGGGAGATTGATTAATAGTCCATTAGGGTAATCAAGGCGGGAAGTTACAAAGGCATTAAGAAGACGATGAGTAGAACTTTGATCCAGAAATTTTCGCAGTTTTTCAACTTTGTGGATCCCGAAAGCTGCGATACGACACACGTTGCGTATATGCTGGTCATAGGCGCCGGAAGTGGGGGGGGGGGGGGGGGCAGGGGATGGCAGTTGCCCCCCAGTCAAAAAAGTGGGGGGGGGGGGGCAAAACGTATTTTTGCCCCCCCAAAACGCCCCCCCTCCAAAAAAAAAAGCAGTAAAGGGGTAAACATGGTTTGTATTTTTAACCCAAAAGAACATAACAAAAATAAAAACCTGAAAAAAAATCACATATACAATTCCATTCAAAGAAAAGGAAAGTTCACAGGAATTAAATTTCATGAACATTGCGCATATGCCACCTATACGGTATTTATCAATGGAGGTCTTTATAATAGCGATACGCGCATATCGTCGACATATTGTGCGAGAATGGGAAAGCGTGTCTGCTTTTTTGTTATAGGGGTGAGAAGACATGAGCCCCTGAACGTTGGCGTACTGATGGGGGGGGGGGGGGTGTATTTCTTATTCGATACCAGTGATTTACAAATGTTGCTGTGAAGACATTTTCCGGTATTTTTTCTCCATTTTTTTAAAAGTCATACCTTTTTATGCGTTTGTTGGAAAATAAGATATTCCCAAATTACAGTCGGGCGAAAAATACGCTTGTTAATAAGCCTTTATGTCATGGTCTGCAAAGTGGGTGGGCTCTAGCCTGAGCCCCCCTCACTTTTTGAAAAAGTATATTAAAGATAAAAAGAAAGAAAGACGGAGAGAAAAATTTAAGTGACCTCCCAATGTCACAAATAAGGTATAAAAAATGCCAAAAATCCCAGAGCTTACGGGGGCTCTGCCCCCGTACCCCACCAAGGGCCCTAAGGCCGTTCCCTGGATGCTCATCTGACCGTAATTAAATACCTAAAACCCCTGAGCTTCCGGGGGCTCTGCCCCCTGGACCCCACCAAGGGCCCTAAGGCGGGCCCTGGATGCTCATCTGACCGTAGTTAAATATTAAAACCTCTAAGCTTCTGGGGGCTCTCCCCCCCCCCTGGAACACGTCAATAGCCTTTAAGAGGGCCCCCGGATGCTCATCTAACCGTAATTAAATACCTAAAGCCCCTGAGCTTCCGGGGGCTCTACCAGGGGCCCTAAGACGGGCCCCTGGATGCTCATCTGACCGTTATTAAATACCTAAAACCCCTAATCTTCGGGGGGCTCTGCCCCCTGGACCCCACCAAGGGCCCTAAGGCGGCCCCTGGACGCTCATCTGACCGTAGTTAAATATAAAAACCTCTGAGCTTCTGGGGACTCCCCCCCCCTGGAACACGCCAATAGCCTTAAAGATGGCCCCTGGATGCTCATCTAACCGTAATTAAATACCTAAAACACCTGAGCTTCCGGGAGCTCAGCCCCTTGACCCCCTTGCCGAGGCTCATGCCCTCGATCCCACGCCAACTTACACTCTACCTGATCGTTAATACTCCACTTTGAAAAACGTTCCGCGGGACCTGTAACGTGTAATACTGGTGGTGATGCATATTTTTCGTCTGCCCCCCCCTTCAGAACGTTTATTTCTCATGGCGTCACTTCCCCTGGAAGGTGAGCCCCCTGGAATGTTTGCCCCCCCCCCCAATCCCAAACTGCTTCCGGCGCGCCTGATGCTGGCTCACATTCAGCACGTTGTCCACCGTGACTCCCAGATCCTTGGCAGATTGGGAAAGAGTGATTGTTGTGCCATCCATGTCAAGATCAGGTAGCACACTGGAATTGCGAAACATGGAAGTTATATGCATAACTTCTCTTTTTGTGCCGTTGAACACAATATTATTGCCGCAGGACCAGTTTTTCACGTCACTGACGCATCTGCTGATCTTGGAAATGCAACTGGAAGCATCACCTTGCTTGAGCACTATGTACAGTTGCGTATCGTCGGCATACATCATATGCATGACGCCATCATGAGCATAAATAAATCACAATTTGAGCACTGTGGTATAAAGGTGAATGCTCTAGACTACAATACGAGTTCTGGGTTCGGTCCATGCTAGGTGTTATACCATTCAACAACAACGTTTGTTTTGCTCACAAAAATTGTCCGTCTCGATCCAGGTGTATAGATAGGCCTACTTGCAAGGCTGGATTATGATTACAATCAAACAAAGTCAATTGTTACGTGAACTATTATCATATCAGTTTCAAACACTTTAACGTCCAGGAGGCCAGGAGCCCGAAATATTCACGAGATTCTATCTATAAGATTTGATCTCTCAAATTTACTCTCTAAAATTATCTCTCTACAATTTACGTCATTGCCAAAATGTTTGTCAGTCTGACTGAAGCCATTGAGTTTATCCATATGCAGAGCCCCTGAAACCTACAGTCGGATCGGGATGTTAAGTAAGTTACGGTCAGGCCGACAACATTTTTTGTCAATGATTTGGATGGTCTGAGTAACTTTGAGGTGTCAAATCTTATTGATGTAATTGGGTAGATACTCCGGTACAGACTCCCAGAATATCGTATATTCAGTATACCTGCTTTCTCTGAAGAGCAGTCAACTTCTACCTCATGGCGTGACAGGCACTTGTCACCAGCCGACATGTGCTTCATGCTGCAGCCCAAGATGTTCTTATCACCGGAGCTGCAGCCCACCTCCCGAAATAGGTATAACCGCTTGGATCGATCCGACGGGAACTGAGGAGTAGAGTGGAAAGAGTCCCGAGCGGGACCGAACCCCAGCTGAGCGCAGATGACGTTAGCGTTCTCCTGGTTCCACCCATCCGCGCAGATGGATCCCCAACGCCCATCACGGTTGACTAGAACACGGCCTTCTGTGGGCTTGGCTCCTCCGACCAAGAGCAATTTTTCATCTGAGAGAGAAAATGAAAGGTGATCGTACTAACATTTCTATTTCTCAGACGCTAACATGCGAGGGTTTTAGGTGAGACTAGGTTTACGAGGTGACACGAATAGTACCACATTTGAAACTTTCGCACGTTACTGCGGGCGCCATCATCATCATCATCATCATTGCTGGGCCAACATGCAGTACGGCACTTATCTTACCTCCATATGCACGGTTAGGAGTCTGGCAGATGGGAGCCTCGGGGATGCACTCCTCTCCTCCATCAAGGCATTCTAGTCGACCACCATCTCCGCATCTCAGCCTCGTTATATTAGAGCGATCGGTGCAGACTATCTCCAACGTTTCGTCGTACCTGTACGTCAACTTCCAAGGACGCAAGAACGTATTACGTGTGTCGATGAAGGGCGCAGGACAGGTAATCGAGTCTGGAGCATAAAATGATTTTTAAAATAATTTAAGTCATTTAAATGCAATTCATTTTCATTTACTTCTTCCAGTTATTATTGTTGGGGTCAAATAGCACAAAATACTAAAGATATACAAAAATGTACACATGACATAAAAAAAAACCCAATTTCCGGTCCACACCAACTGTCCGAGTGCTTCATCTGACAAAATAATGAATGTTCAATGTCTAAAATAAGGAAGGACAAAGACTCAGGCATGAATTCTGATGAAGGTATCAGAGCATACCAGAGATTCAATTGCTATTGGTGACTTACCATCGATTCGAGGGGGACAAGTCGGAGGTTCCACTCCTTCCCATTCCCAGTGGCCATTGACGCACTTCATGACCCCTGAGACACTGGGGTCACCTGGGCATCTCACCTTCACACGGGTGTCCACTGGATAACTCAGTTTGAACGGGTGCATTACCATGTGGTCGTCTTTCTGGAAGGAGATGGGCCCACACGACGGAACTGCAAACAACTCCAAAGACGTAATTGTGATGGTGGTTATTTTACTTGACTGCTAAGAAAGCAGACGGCCGTCGGCTTTAGGTCCTCTCCGAGGGCCCTGGTAATGAGGATTAATGCCTTACCAAAGAGCACTAGCGCAACGACTTGGTTTCGCACACGGGTCATCGGATTACGAGACCACTACTTATCGTGCTTACAACCAGCCATATTATCAGCAGTGTCTGTTGCACAGGAGGCGTCAATTGTGTGACGTTGGACTGCGTCAAGGACTGGCGTGATATTTTACGCGCCGTATGAGATTGACATCGTACAAGGAGTCAATGCAAGCTGAAAGGTGTAAGCATAGCATCGAGTTCCTGGCCTTGGACAAATTGCCTTCACAGGATCGATTAGCGCAGAAAAGGACGCCTCGTGTGTAACAGGTATCATCCAGAGGATGTAAATTTGACGCATCGCGTTAGAACTTCATAGCAGAGCCACAGTCTTGACGTTAAGATGGGGGTGGGTGAGAAACTGATTGTTAAAATCAAAACTAAAAAGCCCGGGGTTTAAAGGGTATAATAAAATGCACACATTTAAACCCCGCGCCCCACACCCTCCCTCACACGCACTCACATAACATTATCATAATTACTATATAATTGGGGAAGTGAAGGTCTTTTGAGAATGTTTGTACTTCTTGCGTTTCCATTTTTCATCCTACAATTTTTGACATACAAAATCATGATTCTTTAACTCGCCAATTTTTTTCCCCTTCAGTGACTGGAATTTTCTTAAATAGAAATCTGTCAAGAGATGCAAAATGCCTCCTTGCCCCTCCTCCAAATACCCTAATGCCCCATAACCTACCTTTGCCTGAGCAAGTGATTCCAGCCTCTTCATCGTTGCTACATAAATTGCCTTCTTTAAAAAAGCAACTTCGCAAGTCCGCTGCATCCTTGTTACATTCAAAATATCCTTGAAGTGGAACCAGCGAACTCTTTAGGAACTCCTTTTCCCCAAGGTCTTTTACGAAAGCACCAAAGCCAATCGCACGGCACACGACGTGGTAGAACTCTTCTCGTCGTGGTGTGTTGCAATGCGTGTGCCATTCACCCGAACTCTTGAGGTAGATCTCGATGCGGCCTTCCCAGGGCTGGGTGCCTCCTTTAAGCCTTACGTCATCTAAATAGAAAAGATGACCAAATATATCATGGGTTCAGGTGGATGACTGAAGCATGCAGGGTTTTTCTTTGCTAACATGCTCCTGCCCTACCCAGAGAAAATATTCCATCATATACTACGTGCTTTATGCATCATGAGTGGACATGTGTTTCACACGTCCTCTCTGTAAATTAGATGTATTCCTTTCTTCATCAACTAAGACGGGATAACTTTACAGAAATTTAAAGTGCTGAGATGCTAATAAGGGCACTGGGAATCACAATCGGTTTGATTGTTTGTTTTACCTGGCTGCTAAGAAAGTAAGCAACCGGGGAGACCGACGGCTTTGAGCCCTCTCCGAGGGACTTGGTAATGAAGATCAATGCCTTACAAAAAAAAAGCGCTAGCGCATCGACTTGGTTTAGATTCCGAGACCTCCCAGTTACGAGACCACTGCTCTACCACTGAGCCATCGCACCTCCAATAACTAAACTATACCATACGATACGCCGAGTTGCCAATTTGTGTCTTTGGACGACTTCAAAGCTTTTGAAATAATTATTACGTCTTTAAACCTATATAATTGTATCAAACTTTCACTTGCTCGTAGCATATTCTCCTTTTATCAAAACCAGTATTATATCCGTTTGGACTTTCCCTTTGAGTTTTTCGAAACCAAGAATTGACCCGAGATGATAAGATTAAAAGTATGGTCTGCCATTGTGCGGTTGACTGGTATCGTATGGTAAAATGCTTTTTTAAATGCACCCAAAAGCTGTAACTATTTTTGCTTCAACAATTCAAATGATGCGTAACATAATTGTTTTGTAATCATTCAAGACGAAATACTACAGTATCATCGATCCTCTAAAGTATCGTCAGATCACATATAAATATTGGAGATGCCAACGTTCAACAATCTAGGGTGTTAGAGGTATCGTAGTCGAGGGGATACGTCATCGGACTGTGGATCACAAGGTCCGCGGTTCGAGTCCCGCCGCGCCACGAATGTCCTTTGGCAAGACATTGATCTATATTTGCCACACTGAACCCAGGTGACGTTAATAGGTAACTAGCAGGAATTAATTCCTTAAAATGCTATAGAGCGCCGTCATGGTAGCCATGCTAAAGCTAGGGTAATAAACGGGAGCGACAGGAGTGTCAAGTCTCACAGATTTATTTATTTATTCACGAATATTTTGGACAGAGTAGCCTGATCAGCAATCAAGACATTAAAAACATGTAAATATACAAATGAAATTTAAAAAGCAAATTAGAACATTAACATTTCATAAATAGTGACAAGATACAACAAATACTTAAAATACGTTACACGCTGGTCTTCCTCAGGGCTCTGTTTGCATATGATTAAAACTGACCTATAATAGGTAAAAAATAAATGGAACCATTAGTATACATATTAGAATAAAAAACAACAACAACAGGAGGATAATCAGGGACGATTTGAGAGTAATTAAAACATAGTAGAAAAAAATTCAACATGAATTATCAAGTTTGGTTATGGGCGCTATATAAGAACAAGAACACGATAAAAAGAGTTGGTAAAAAATGTGTGTCAAGTTAAACTTTAGCCAAAATCGGGCATGTTTTTTTTGCTTTGTTTTTTACTCCAAATTCCGTTGAGATAAATATCAAACTCTTTGTAGAGTGAAATATAATGATAAAATGTAGCCTACAACTACAAATGTTGTCAATTCATAATCTCTGACAAAAGAAATACCAGTCTTTTGTATCGAATAAATACTGTATGGGAGTGGTGTACAATGTACCTACGATCGAGGGGGGGGGGGGGGACTTGGGCATGAGCCTCCCATTATGAAAAGACAGATACAGAAAGAGAGAGAGTGAGAGAAAGGGGAGGGGGTAAAGAACAGAAATGGAGTTGAAGTGACGTGGAAAAAAGATGATAAGATCCTTTTAATACCCTTCCATTGATCCAGGGGACCTTTAATTAACATTTCATATATACCTAGAAAGATCGATGCCCTCTCCCGCCTATGATACCCCCCCCCCCCCATATGGCGGGTCTGTGCGTCGCCACTGCTGTATTGTCACCATTTAACGAAAAAACTGTATAATTATGCGGTTTTTTGCTGTAATGGACTTTGAACTCCATAACAGTTTCATTTTTAAACATGTACTTGTATACGGAGGCTGGTGCATAGCTTGTTCCTGTTGATTTACGAATGAAATATCACGCTTCCTAGTAATTATGTGGCTCTTCCCCAAATATGTCGAAATAAGCTGTATATCCAATTATGTTTAACGAATTTATTTCGCATTTGAGAAAAAAACACTGTGATTTATTTAGTGTAATTAACTGCTAGTTAATCTCTATTTTGGATATGTTTTTTTTTCTTTGCGTTTTAATCTTACAGGAAATATAGGCCTAATGAAGTTCTAACTCATTTTGCACAAAATGCATCTATTGCAGCCCATTCACTCATCGATGGGTGCTATAATATTTGTATTTTTCACAATGGTATTTAGTATAATTTGTAAATGATGATACATTTCCCATGTTGTTGTTGTGAAAGGGCAGTAAGGAGCAATCACCGTGCTCTACTCTGTACGCACTGTAACAAGTGGGTTCATATTTCATGTACAAACATATTTAAACATGTTTATGATTCTGAAATGCATTTTATAGATTGGCAATGTCGACGATGCCTAATGAAGCAGCTACCATTTTATGGGCAAGAAGATTTATCATTTAATCCAATTTTAAATGTAAATGATTGTATATTAGTTGAAGGGATGTCACATGCCAGTCAACAATTTTGTTATTTTCCTTCTAAAAAGGGTTTGAAATTAAGCCACCTTAATATAAGAAGTTTAAAAAATAAAAAAGAAAGTATGGAAATAATTTTACAAAGGTACCCTTATGATATTTTGTCACTATGAGAGACTTGGCTTGATAATTTTTTCTTCTTTACAGTCACTTAGTATTCCATTTTTTGTTTTTGAAAGAAAAGATAGTAAAATGGCGGAGTGGCATGTTACATTTAATAGAGAAGGTTCAACTTAAAAAAGACGATTTGTTTTAAAAAGTGAACATATTGACTGTATGTGGATTGAAATAATACAACCGAATCATTCTTTCAATTTTATGTTGCACTTAACAGAAACCTGATTGTGGTATGGATTTTTATTCAGATCTTTGAAAAAATGTCTAGACAATGTTTTTTTCTCTAAAAAAATATGGGGGTTTTAACTGCAATATGCTAGCTCGAAATACAAATGAATACCTTACTCTGGCTAGGAAACGGAGATATAATTAGAGACAGTTTGATAAGATAAATATTGCTCGAAAAGTAAAAGACTTAACATTTTTTTAAGAAGCCCAATGATTAGAATATTAGGATAGGTATACAAATTATCAAAATAGAGCGAATAACTTAAATAACAAGGTAAAGGAAAAGCATTATAACGATATTCTAATGAATCGAATAATGATATGAAGAAAACCTGGAGGACATTGAATTAATTACTACAAGACGGTAACAAATGTGAAAATTATGGTGTTGTAATTGATGGTATATGAAAATGACAAAGAAATCATTAATAATAACTAATCAGGAAGTTATGAATTTTCTTACTCAATACTAGTGCATCCACACAAATACATATCACTTTCACTATAACTTGGATGCTGGTGTGAGGAAATATGATTTTTAGGAGGAAAATTGGAAATTTATATTATCAATATAAAAAACACAATTAGGAGATAGTGAGGCAATGACGTCACAGAATCATGAGTGAGTTGCCAATTTGCCTTGTGATTTTCAAAGTTTTTCATGTCATTAACAATTCATAACTTTCTTATTAATTATCCGATTTTGCTCAAACTTTTTTTTGATTGGTTTGTCTAATTTGTCTGCTTCTATTGAAAGTAAGTTATTTTTGGAGTGGACTTGTCTTTTAAACTCGCCAAGATTATACCAATCTATAAAATGAATGGAAAGAATTATCTAAATGATTACAGACCTATATCGGTTTTGCCTATTTTATCAAAAATATTTGAAAAAGCTGTTCATACACAATTATATTCGCATTTTACCAAATTTTCATTAATAGACTGGTTTCAGAAAATTTCTTTCAACATCCACTAGCCTGTTTGACAAACATGAATATTTTTGGGAAATATAAACTCAGGATTTTGCACTTAAAGTATATTTTTAAACCTACGCAAGGAAATTGATCTTATTCCTCATAAATTGATTATTACAAAACTAACTTACGAGGTCTCTTCAGTGGAATTAAAATGCTTTTTAAATATTTGCTTAATAATAGACAACAATGTGTATCAATAAATGGTTTATATTTATAAAAGTGATTTATTAACAGTTAAATGCGGAGTACCTCAAGGTTCAATTTTGGGCCTTTATTATTCTTTATTTACATTAATAATAGGATTTTATTGAAATCAAAACATCAAAAACCAACAGCAAACAGTCCAAAGACTGACAACTGTCTTGGGTACAAAAATAAAATTTAAATCAAATATACATAATAAAATAGCAGTAATGAATAAATACATAAGTTACATAAGTTAAAATATCAAATAACTAAACTATTATCAGTAAATATTGCAAAAAGGACATATAAACGAATAAGTATACATCATTACAATTACATCAAAAAGGGGCTCTCGAGCTTGCAATAACTAAATCAGGTACAGACCGAGAGTCCAATAAAAAGAAGATTAAAATGCATAAGGTTTAAAAAGATCAATAGTAAAAAGAGGGGAATATGTCAGCTAAAGAATAATTTTTAAAATTTAAAGTATTGAGAAAGTACAAGTAACATACAATAAAGAAATTCCCAAGAGAGTATAGAAAAAGAAAAGAGTAAGATAGAGGGAGAGAGGGAAGAAAAGAAAAGGAGAAAGAGAGAGAGAGAGAGAGAGAGAGAGAAGGAAGGGGATAGGAAGGAAGTTAGGGAAATATCAATAAGATCTGTTGACTCTGTAAAATCAGAACAAGTATCTAAACATTGTA